TCCTATTCATATAAAATATTATAGAAAATTTCCATTCCATCACACCCCTTTCCCACCTATCCCAGTAGTACTATCTCCCCAGGGATGGTGCCACATCCCACTATCATCCCCAGAGACAGTGGTGCATCCCCCATCCCTCAGGTGTGATTTCCCCTCGTCTCCCCCCTCCAGGCACAGTGGCCAGGGTGGGACTGAGATTTACATTGTCCAATCAATGTCTGCTTTCTGTTGTATGGCCCAGCCTGACTTGAAGGCTCCAGTGAAGGCTGGGGGCCCAGTCATGCCAGGGGCTGCCAAAAGACATGGTGAAAGCTCTGCCTGGAGACCCTTCCAGTTCTGGAGCGTGGAAGAGGTCTGGGGTGGCCAGGATATCGAGATGCAAATTGCAGTGCAGGGAGGGGGGGAAATCCATGTGCCCCAGCAGTTCCCTGATGTGCTCACCCTAGCAGTGTGGTGGTGGGAGTGCTGCAGCAGGGCATTCCCATAACCAGCCACTCCCTCCCCATCTCCCCAGGGGCCAGAGTGGCACCATGAAGGTGAAGCTGAAGAATGTGTTTGTCATTTACTTCCTAGTGTCGGTGATTGGGCTTATGTACGCGCTGCTGCAGCTGGGTGAGTTTGGGGGCTGAGCGCAGAGCAGGTTTGTGGGCTTGGACAGCACCGTTGAGCCAAGAACCATTCTCTGTCCGTACCACAGAGTGCAGTGCCAGCAGTCACTGGCCCCTGAATGTTCTCTCTCCCCCAGTGAAGCAGCCAGCCCTTGGGGACAGCTTGTCTGGGTGCCCATCCTACTGAGTGCTAGTTCCTGCCCCAGCTCCACTGGGTGTCTGTGTAAAGAGCTAGGGCTTCAGAAAGAGATATTGGTGAGGGATTGGACTGGGGGAAAGGGCACAGGCCCTATCTCAGGGAGTTTGAGAAGTCCCAGGAATGCTTGAGGGCCAGACAGTGGATTAGGAGGGAGCATGGCCCTTGTTTGGGAGCAGGGATGGGAGCCCTGTTGTTTCCTGACTGGGGATGGGTCCAGCTGGGGAATCATCCCTAGGGGAGAGGCTGGAGCTATGCAGCTCCCTGTTGGGAATGGGTCTGGCTGGGAGCCTGCTGCTCCTCAGCAGGGAGATGAGGAAGGGCTGAGAGCACCCTGAATCAGTGGATTTCAAGTCTGGCAGGGAACACTCAGGGAAGCAGGCTGGTGGGCTGGCTGGGTCCCAAAGGTCTCCCCTCTGTGACCTGTCTGCCTTCTCTGCTCGGCTCCAGGGCAGCCCTGCGACTGCTCCCAGCACCTGAGATCGGCCAGTGAACTATTGCATGGCAAGGACAAGAAGATCTCCCAGCTGCTGAGTGAGGTGAAGCGGCTGCAAGCCCATGGAAAAGGTTCCGACCTGGAGGGAGCAGCACTGCCCATTATCTATGCCATCACACCCACCTATGCCAGGTGGGAGCTCCTCTAGGGGGAGCTGAAGGGGAATTGGCCATGCTGGGAATAAGCTGGGCTTGGGGAAATGGGGGGTTTCTGAGGGTGGGAAGAATCTCCATGTGAGAAATGACTCCAAAGCTGGATTCAGCAGCCTGAAATCCAGCTGCAAAGGAGAGCAGGGGCCTGCAGGTAGCAGGTTAGGGCCTGTGACACTCTGGGAACCTCCCAGCAGGCCCTGCCGCAGTGTTAGCAGCCAGGGAGCTGAAAGGGGCCCTATTACCCCTGCCAAGCACCAGTCAGTGTTACAGAAACACTTCAGTGGTTCTCAAGCACTCAAGGAAGCAACCTCTGCAGAAGCTACAAAAATATTTTGCAAAACAACTAACTGGTTTGCCTCCTCCCAGTCTCCTCAGATGAGATCATGAGCGTGGGTTTCCACCCCCCAACTACTGTTGCCTTGCTGGGGTAAGACATGGCTGAGGGGAAGAATATCCCTCCAGCAGACAGCACTGGTGTTAAACCCATTAGTGCTGGACGAGCTGAGAGTTCTCTAGTGCCAAGCACTGGCAACTCCAATACCCAAGAGGTGCTCCGCAGAACCCCGCTGCTTCATCTCTGCCAGGAGGAACAGTCGGACCCCACAGCCTGCTCCCCCTTGCCCACCCTGCTCTGCCTCATCAATGCTTTCCTTGAAGGCTACCTCTTGTTCTTATTTTTTCTCCTACCACCACCTTCTCCAAGTGGTGTGCTTCTCTTACTTTTACCCCTTTATTGTAGCTCCCTTGTTTTCCAGGCCAGTCTGGTGCATTCCTCTATTGTTTCCCCCTCCCACTCCAGGCTGAGCGGATGCATTTCTCTATTGTTTTCTCTCTTCCACAGGCTGGTGCAGAAGGCTGAGCTGGTGCGCATCTCGCAGACCTTCCTGCACGTGAAGAACTTCCACTGGATCGTGGTGGAGGACTCCCCGGTAAAGACCCAGTTGGTGTCAGAGCTGCTGGCCCAGAGTGGCCTGCGCTTCACCCATCTACACACAGAGACGCCCAAAGAGCACAAGCGCAAGGAGAGCGATCCCAACTGGCTGAAGCCCCGTGGTGTGGAGCAGCGAAACCTGGCTCTGCAGTGGCTGCGGGAGAACCGGGAGCTCAGTGAGGAGGGCATAGTCTACTTCGCCGATGATGACAACACCTACAGTCTGCGCCTCTTTGACGAGGTGGGTGCTGTGTAATTAGGAGTGGGATGGTGGCAGAGCGGTAGAGGCAGACTGGGAGTGATGGGGAAGTGGGGACGGCAGGTGTTACAGATCCATACAATCAGAGCTACAGGCCTACCTCTGGAACAGTCTATCAGGAACCTCTTCTGTGAGCCAGTCCCCTTTGAGTGTCCCCTGTAAGAAGCCTGAGCTACATGGTTTCACTACTTCTTGAGCCAGTTCTTCTGGACCTGCAGCTCCCCTGCAGCACAGGGAGTCCAGCTGAGACAGACCCCGATGGAAACTGGTTCGCTCTCCAGGGCTCAGTGCCCCTCGCCAAGCACTGGAAGACACACTGCACTGTCAAAACAGTTGGCTTTATTAGTCCTTTGGAGCACACCATAGGGTGTGCTTAGGTTAGCACAGAGAACAGATGTTAAAACACAGTCCGTTCTGGTAGCCTGGAGCCCAGCCAAGCTGACGTGATCACCGTGGTTTAAGCGGTCTCTGATCCTTCGATTCTCTGTCAGGCTCTAGAACCCTCGCTGCCTCCTGCACTTATCCCTCTTTTCATATCTCCAATCCTTGGATCTGGCGCTGAGATCAGCCTCAGGAAACATCCTGTTTTCCTACAGATATTACGTCTTGCACCTTAGAGAAGGTCTGCTTGCATCAGCTGCTCTCCCACTTTGGATTTACCCAAGTCCCACTCCTGGGGCTGCTTCCATTGGTTCCCTTTCCCAGGTCCTGTGCTTAGCCCAGTTCCCTTTGGGTCTGTCTTCATACTGTCACAAACTCATCAGCCGCTGGCCTCTGCTGTGCAGACCCTTCAGTTCCCTGTGCACTAGCTACACTTTAAGTTTGTCACAACAGATCTTCTAGAGTTTCTGCAGTCCAGCCAGGTTTTACAAATCTTCCAGTGCAGTGCTCCTGCTCTCTTAACTGCATTTGTGAAGATATTCTCCCAGCAGGGTGGAGGCTTCCAGGTAGATCACACTCAGGGGCTTTTGCACACCCCGAAACCTCGATATACGCTCCAGGTGTCAGTTCGACTTAAGCAGTAAAGCCTTTCTGAAGTGTTCACAGTCCCCAGTATCAACTCCATCCATGTGGCTGAATGCCTCTATAGCTATGGGTCCAAGTGAGGGGTCAGACAGAAGAGCCAGTTTACAAGGTTACCCTGGTTCAAATCACAGGCCTTCTCAACAGCAGTGAGACAGGTATCAATATCTTCCTCCTCCCTCAACTGAGGCAACAATTTGGTGTCTAGGTTCCCCGTGAAATTGGCATCTTTCCTCACTTGTCCTGCTGTGGGTCCTCTCACCCCTCTGCTTCTCCGTATCCAGTTCCTGCTTTCACTCCTCTGAGCTCTTCACTGTTCTTCCTCATGCTTTGTTGCTTCTCCCCCTCAGTTCATTGGCGCCGAGAGGGAACAATCCACTAGCACCTTCACTCTTGGCACCAAGTCCCACCACTTCAGGTCTCTCAATGGAGAGCCAGGTTGCAAGGACCTCAGCTGGACAGGGAACTGGGTCTTGTGGATGCTGCTGCTGCCTCTCACTGTCACACCTGCTTAGAACCTGCTTGGATCTGGAACCTGCTGCTTGACCCGAAAATCCTTCTCCAGCTGTGCAGCCAGGTGTGCCTTGTTGGGCTTCCGATGCTCAACCCTCTTTGCTGCACAGGTTTGTGTTGCTTGATTTAGGGAGCTGCCCACTGACCGTTTTCTTGCTATTCCCTTTAACTATTCTGGTTTTACTGCTGCAAGTCACTTACAGCAAAATACCCTGGATTCATTCAGCATCGCACTGCTACCACCAATTGCACAGAGTCACAAGATCAGTGATATGGTCCTGGTTGGGAGGAGTCTCTTAAGAGGAATCCCTTCAGTGTGCCAGTCCCCATAGGGGTTCCTCTGGGAGGGAAGCAGTGTAAGGCACGCCGCTTACCATCTCCTGAAACTGCTCCTCTGGGCCTGCCGCACTCCTGGGTCTCGCTGTGAGCTCCATTCAGCGAGTGCAGCTGACTGACTGGCACATTCTCCAGGGATCAACACCCCTCACCAAGCACTGTCAGAAACACTCACACTGTGTGGTCAAACCAGTCGGGTTTATTAGTCCTCTGGAACATGCCATAGGGAGTGCTTAGGTAGCACAGAGAACAGACGTTAAAGCACAGTCCAGTCTGGTTAGCCCGGAGCCCAGCTAAGCTGTTGTGAGCCCCTTCGTTCAAGCTCTCTTGGTTCAAGCCGACTCGAAACTCTCCAGTCCTCAGATCTCAAAACTGCTCAGCCCCCTCTCTAAGATAGCACTCATAAAATATTACAGCTGGGAGAGGGTGACAGGCAAGAGTGGGTGGCAGGGCACTGGGAGAGGGTGTAGAGAAGGGTGAGCGCAGGGCGCTGGGAGAGGGGGAAGGGAAGAGTGGGCGCAGGGCGCTGGGAGAGGGGAAAGGAAAGGGAGGGCACTGGGAGAGGGGGAAGGGAAGGGTGGCGCTGGGAGAGGGGAAAGGGAAGGATGGGCGCAGGTCGCTGGGAGAGGGGAAAGGGAAGGGAGGGCGCTGGGAGAGGGGGAAGGGAAGGGTGGCGCTGGGAGAGGGGAAAGGGAAGGATGGGCGCAGGTCGCTGGGAGAGGGGAAAGGGAAGGGAGGGCGCTGGGAGAGGGGGAAGGGAAGGGTGGCGCTGGGAAGAGGCGCTGGGAGAGGGTGAAGGGAAGGGAGGGCACTGGGCGATGGGAAAGGGAAGGGAGGGTGCTGGGAGAGGGGGCAGGGAAGGGAGGGCGCTGGGAGAGGGGGATGGGAAGGGTGGGCACAGGGTGCTGGGAGAGGGGAAAGGGAAGAGTGGGCGCAGGGCGCTGGGAGAGGGAAAAGGGAAGGAAGGGCGATGGGAGAGGGGGAAGGGAAGGGTGGACGCAGGTCGCTGGGAGAGGGGAAAGGGAAGGGAGGGCGCTGGGAGAGGGGGATGGGAAGGGTGGGCACAGGGTGCTGGGAGAGGGGAAAGGGAAGAGTGGGCGCAGGGCGCTGGGAGAGGGAAAAGGGAAGGAAGGGCGATGGGAGAGGGGGAAGGGAAGGGTGGACGCAGGTCGCTGGGAGAGGGGAAAGGGAAGGGAGGGCGCTGGGAGAGGGGGATGGGAAGGGTGGGCACAGGGTGCTGGGAGAGGGGAAAGGGAAGAGTGGGCGCAGGGCGCTGGGAGAGGGAAAAGGGAAGGAAGGGCGATGGGAGAGGGGGAAGGGAAGGGTGGACGCAGGTCGCTGGGAGAGGGGAAAGGGAAGGGAGGGCGCTGGGAGAGGGGGATGGGAAGGGTGGGCACAGGGTGCTGGGAGAGGGGAAAGGGAAGAGTGGGCGCAGGGCGCTGGGAGAGGGAAAAGGGAAGGAAGGGCGATGGGAGAGGGGGAAGGGAAGGGTGGACGCAGGTCGCTGGGAGAGGGGAAAGGGAAGGGAGGGCGCTGGGAGAGGGGGATGGGAAGGGTGGGCACAGGGTGCTGGGAGAGGGGAAAGGGAAGAGTGGGCGCAGGGCGCTGGGAGAGGGAAAAGGGAAGGAAGGGCGATGGGAGAGGGGGAAGGGAAGGGTGGACGCAGGTCGCTGGGAGAGGGGAAAGGGAAGGGAGGGCGCTGGGAGAGGGGGATGGGAAGGGTGGGCACAGGGTGCTGGGAGAGGGGAAAGGGAAGAGTGGGCGCAGGGCGCTGGGAGAGGGAAAAGGGAAGGAAGGGCGATGGGAGAGGGGGAAGGGAAGGGTGGACGCAGGTCGCTGGGAGAGGGGAAAGGGAAGGGAGGGCGCTGGGAGAGGGGGATGGGAAGGGTGGGCACAGGGTGCTGGGAGAGGGGAAAGGGAAGAGTGGGCGCAGGGCGCTGGGAGAGGGAAAAGGGAAGGAAGGGCGATGGGAGAGGGGGAAGGGAAGGGTGGACGCAGGTCGCTGGGAGAGGGGAAAGGGAAGGGAGGGCGCTGGGAGAGGGGGATGGGAAGGGTGGGCACAGGGTGCTGGGAGAGGGGAAAGGGAAGAGTGGGCGCAGGGCGCTGGGAGAGGGAAAAGGGAAGGAAGGGCGATGGGAGAGGGGGAAGGGAAGGGTGGACGCAGGTCGCTGGGAGAGGGGAAAGGGAAGGGAGGGCGCTGGGAGAGGGGGATGGGAAGGGTGGGCACAGGGTGCTGGGAGAGGGGAAAGGGAAGAGTGGGCGCAGGGCGCTGGGAGAGGGAAAAGGGAAGGAAGGGCGATGGGAGAGGGGGAAGGGAAGGGTGGACGCAGGTCGCTGGGAGAGGGGAAAGGGAAGGGAGGGCGCTGGGAGAGGGGGATGGGAAGGGTGGGCACAGGGTGCTGGGAGAGGGGAAAGGGAAGAGTGGGCGCAGGGCGCTGGGAGAGGGAAAAGGGAAGGAAGGGCGATGGGAGAGGGGGAAGGGAAGGGTGGACGCAGGTCGCTGGGAGAGGGGAAAGGGAAGGGAGGGCGCTGGGAGAGGGGGATGGGAAGGGTGGGCACAGGGTGCTGGGAGAGGGGAAAGGGAAGAGTGGGCGCAGGGCGCTGGGAGAGGGAAAAGGGAAGGAAGGGCGATGGGAGAGGGGGAAGGGAAGGGTGGACGCAGGTCGCTGGGAGAGGGGAAAGGGAAGGGAGGGCGCTGGGAGAGGGGGATGGGAAGGGTGGGCACAGGGTGCTGGGAGAGGGGAAAGGGAAGAGTGGGCGCAGGGCGCTGGGAGAGGGAAAAGGGAAGGAAGGGCGATGGGAGAGGGGGAAGGGAAGGGTGGACGCAGGTCGCTGGGAGAGGGGAAAGGGAAGGGAGGGCGCTGGGAGAGGGGGATGGGAAGGGTGGGCACAGGGTGCTGGGAGAGGGGAAAGGGAAGAGTGGGCGCAGGGCGCTGGGAGAGGGAAAAGGGAAGGAAGGGCGATGGGAGAGGGGGAAGGGAAGGGTGGACGCAGGTCGCTGGGAGAGGGGAAAGGGAAGGGAGGGCGCTGGGAGAGGGGGATGGGAAGGGTGGGCACAGGGTGCTGGGAGAGGGGAAAGGGAAGAGTGGGCGCAGGGCGCTGGGAGAGGG